GACTCTGCTTTTCAATATTTTAGAAGAAATACGCATTAATAAAATATGACACGGTATCAGCCAAAAAGAAAAGTTTAAATAAATGCAGTGTGTTAAGTGTGACAGATCAGATTATGAGATAATCATCCAATTATCATTTTTTCTGTCTCCATTTAATTTCAAAACCTTCTCCTAAAAAGTCTCCCCCCTACTCCCTCTTTCCCTGCGCTGTCCAGTGATGGCCCCAGTCTCTTCTCAGCGGGACACCACTAGCTCATTGCTTCACAGCGGGATCACGTTAAATGGTTAATGAACTGTACCTGCTATCTTCTCCGCATTGCACTTTCAATCACTGCTTGCTTCTTTTCCTGTCTCCTCCTTTGTCTAATACTTTGTCACTATTTTTCTGACAAGTGGCAATGCATTTAAAATCCTTCTTATTTGGGGGCTCAGAGAACTTGCCATACTAAAGTCATTTGTTTTCATTGCAGATTAGGCCTGGTAATCTGACAAGGCTCAAATACAATATGGGATTGATTGGATGTTGAAATGAGTGCGGCGAGGTCAGTGTGCTAGTAAATTGATTTGGTGAATGGATTCGAGATAGAGCCAGGGTGCTGCCAGTTGCCTGTCAGTGAAGCTTGGAAAACATGCCTTCATAGTTTTTTGTTTTTTTTGAGGCGATCTGTGATAAGGAGGCTGATCTGGACTATTGAGATTCAGCCATGGAACAACAGACCAGCAGAATGTGTTGCCGTGCCAACCGAGCCCCATCAGAGTGCAATGGTTAAATGTAAAAAGATCCACTGCCAATGCAAATATAGGTTGCCATCTGTTTTCATTGTGTTCCTCCTTTGTTGTAGAGGAGTGGAAGATTTGTACGCAGTGTAATTAGTATAGTGAAAATGTATGCCTGCTTTGGCACTGCAGATCTCTACTTGCTCATGTTTAATTAGCAAATCTGGAAAGGTGCTAAAGATTCCACCGAGTCATTTATAATTTTTATTTTATTTTATTTATTTATTTATTTCGGTCACAGGTATATTTTGACTTTAATTCATAAACAGTCATATTTAACATATATAGACCGAAAAGGTGCAGGCTGAAGCTTAAGCTTAGATATATAATCAAACTTAACATGATCACTGACAGGTAACAGAAAAAATGAAAATCTCTTAATGATTTAACACTTGTCACAATACCAAAAGTTCAAACTATTTCTATATGGAAAAAAGGCTTTAGACACAATGCTGATTTTGTTACCATAATGAGGATTAAAAACACAACATATTGTAAATGTCAACACAAAATTTGAGCCATTGATTAAATAGTGCCACGCGCTACTAGCTCTGTTATAGTACAATAGATCTAGACAATCTAAGGGATTCAGTTCAGGAAAGATCTGAATGTGTCAATTTTATGCAATGTATTATCAAATAAGCATCTAGTTTATGCTAGTTTCAGTACTGATTAGTATCTGAATATATCTTACATATATTAAGAGCAACATGCTACAAATGGATCGACATGTGGTCAAAATGTCATGGGTGACAGGTTTAATTGAACAAATAACAATAACAAAATAACAATGCACTAATACATTGACGTAAGACTGCATACATTTTTAAAGCACGAAACTTCTGCAGAACATGCTTTCTCTACTATTCTACTATATAATTTCCTAACTTTGACAAGTTGCTAAAGTTTGGGTGATGAACTTAATTCCTCACTTTAAAAACTATTAATTTCCAGTCGGGCTGAAGAGATGCGGCCGAGACAAGAAAACAGCGGACGTGTTGCTTAGGAACAGTGTGGAATAATCGTAACTTTTTCTTGAAGCATCTGATCTTATCTCCCATGGTGCGAACTGTTAGTGTTCTTCTATGGGCTTGTGTGTGTGTGCGTGTGTGTGTGCGTCTGTGTGTGTGTTTGTGCGTGTGTGTGTGTGTGGTCGGGGGAGAGGGGGGTGCTATCAGAACTCAGGTTTAGCAGAGGTTGTTCCTAGGCAACTGTTTTTCCCATAAAAGTTGTTTGTTTTTCCCTTCATTTGTGTTCATTAAAGAAGTTCCTACACAAATACAATTTCTGGTTATTGGAAACTTCTTTTACTTCCCCTTTAATCCATTTAAAACAACAATAAAGGTGCTTATATTGTGCTCTTATTTTGTGAAAAAGTCTCAAACAGGCTTTTAGGAAAGGTTAAGAACAAAGAAAGGTTTATCGATGTAACAACAATGCACTTCTGTGCACTCAGACCTCTGTCAAAGAAAGCACTTCTGTAACGATTGTATGGGAATTTAGTTCTTAGACATGCAGAGGCTTAAACTTATTTTGTATAACAAAAGCTTTATACTAAGAAAACTATCAAGACTATGTCTTAGTTCAAAGTTTATTTTAATATGTACGCACTATATAACTGTGATGCTGTACAGTTTTTTGTGTTTGTCTTTTATATATTCTTGAAATGTTGTTGTGTTGTTGCTCTATGGTAGAGTTCAGGTGGATTGATAATGGGGATGGATTTTAAAGAAACAGTTACATGAAATTTAGCATCTTTTGATATTTTCTTTATTTATCAAAAGTGTTCTTGCACAGAATACAAGTTACATAATATAGTAGCTGGTGTGATGATAGATGTTACTAATAGGCCTGGATGCCTGCTGATGTTTAATCTTATCTAATTAGGCTTGTAAAACCATAGCAGTAAAATGGATCACTGTAATATATATATATATATATATATATATATATATATATATATATATATATATATTATATATATATATATATATATATATATATATATATATATATATATATATATAGATATAGATATATATTTACATCTCTGACAGCACAGTCTGAGCTGCGGCTTATTACAGCTCCTACCCAGAGCCGCCCACACAGACAGTGTATTGATTTGCCTGATGCTTGGTACAGTAGGAGTCGCTTGATTCCCAGTTAATTGGCTATACGTGAGGTGTTTAATTAGGTGCTTTGAACTGGGATGTTGCAGGTGGGAACCTGTGGCAGATTCTGTGATTTTTACCGTGGCCTAATTAAAAGTGTCTTCCTGAAAAAGACATGGCCTCAGCTCTGCGTTACCCAAACACACCTGTTGTGCTTTGCATGTGTGTTCTTTGTGATGTGTGAGAGAGACTACCTGCTGCTTCTACTAACAAGGATGTCCACGTGCAGATCGCCTGTAATTACAACAGCCCAGCAGTCATTAGGATCATAATAGACAGCATAGCCCCTTTGGCATAATACTTTGACTTTTATAAACCACTGACAACATGGGGCTAGGAGATCATAACAATATGAAACACCATGCTTGGACATTCTTCATCCTGCCTAGCTAGTTTAAGTCAGTTATAATCTTATGGTGTAATAATGTCTCCTTTAAATAAACCAGGCTTAAGACACTGTACTGACATGTTTTGTAATCTTATTGGCTAAATCTTAGAGACAGATTTCCCACCCCAATAACATATACACTTCAGCTGATGTCTTATGCATCATAGCTGCACCAAAAAAGGTAAGAAAATAAATGGCAAAACTCAATGACGGTTAGGCCCGTCACAATAATTACTCTATATTGACTTACCATTCAATATATAAAACATGGGTCAATATATTTTGGGCTCAGTACTTATCATGGGCACATTTTCTTTCAAATTTGTGTCATTTTTGTTGTAATACAAAAACATGTGAGCAGTAAAGGGTTGAAAAAGTAACTTCTGTGGCTAATTCAGCTATTTATTTGTTGCAGCTCAGGTCATTTCATGATTCTTTATATTTAATAATGGTTCACTGGGGTTATATTACTTTATTTTCATTGTGTCAGTGGCATAAAGTAGTTTCAATATTATTGTTCATCGCAATAATTCTCTATAGCAATATATCTTCAAAATGTGTTATCATGACAGGCCTATTCAAGGGACTGTTAAAACCAATCTAATGAATGAGATTCCATGAAAAAAAACATACCCACCTTCCTTAGAATCCAACCATTTAAAATTATGTAAAAAATTAAATAATAAATACATAAATAAATAAATAAAATTTCTAAAAAAATCAAGTAGGCTAAAAGTTTGGGATGCCATGTTCCTCTCAACGTGCTTTACTCAAAGATTTCAGGTTGGTTTATTGTCAAAGTGTGAGGCATTTTCAACTGGGAATATACCAATTTAAAGCCACAAGATGCTGTTCCACATAACGTTAATTATGGCCCCTGTTTGACGTCACCTGAAAACTAAATGAGAGGAAAGCTTCATTAAGGACTGATCCAGTTTTGCATGGTACGGAAACTCTTTTTAAAGTGTATTTCCTTGTATGAGATAGGAAGTTTGACTCTTACTCTAACTTAATAAATGGTGTAGTTTTGAGTGGTGTAGCCTCATCTTTAATATGTTATCTCGGTGCTTTCTTTTACTTTACTCAACTTCTGGTTTAGAAATAAATGTTATATTCCCAACTTGGATATTTTGTTTAGCTATATAGTGCCATCTGTTGGATCAATTTTGAAACTACCAGGGAAAAATGTTAACCCGTGTCACAGAATTCGCTGGTATTGTTTTAGTTGTTTTTGGGTGTAAGAAAAAAAATTTAAATATAGACTAGCCCAACACATTTCTGTAGGCGGAGGTCAAAAAACTTCAAATGGTTTTCACAGTTTCATTTTGGCTGATGGGCCTAATGAAGCCCCCTGCATGCTCGTCCATATGCGCACAGACTGGTAGCGTGGATGCTGTGCGTTTCCATGGAATTGGCTGAGTCATCTCCGAGCAAACATGTTTAGGCAAGAATAAGTCAAATGTCATATTCCCCAAAGTAACCCTGTCACATGGACATTCACAAGGGAATTGTACTGTCTAATGCCATCTGGAAGGCCTATCATTTTAGTGGAAACGCGCTCTACCCAACTGAAAGAAAAATGAAAACTCTTTAAATTTAATTTCGTTTATAATATGGTGAAATACTCTTCACAATTAGGCTAAAATAAATAAATGTACAGACTTACGTCCTGGATGTGCTGCACTGTAGTGGGCGGGGTTAAGTGATCATGTGACACTGCTGAAGAGCCGCCGCCATGTGGCTCTGGAGGTCTTCTGTCTTGTTAGGTCTCGTCGGGAGCAAAGGAGTACTGAGAGGCATGGTAAGTCATCCTAGCGTTATTGGAATAGTACTTATGTTTACGCAATGAAGAGCATTCAATAGGACCTGTATCTTCTCTCTTTCGTGGTGACAAACGTAGGTCGGAGTGAGGCGTCTATTTATAAACAAACTGCGTAACCGCTCTCTGGTGTAACAAGCATATTGGTCCGACTGTCAAGATTAGCCTGATGTGAATGTTTCTCATTCATTGTTTGGGCAGTATCATGGATTAGTGATTGTAAAGCACTAAACACAGATGCGTTTCTGCGTTCAAAGATGCTATTCTGTTCAGATTTTTGCTGATGTAACGGTTTAGCTTGTAGCTAACGGTGTTCAGCTACCACAAATATTAGGGTTAAGCATAGACCTGTAGGGAAGGAAGCTCACGGTAATCCCTTTTGTCTGCCACACAGTGAGTGGCATTTACAATGAAACACTCATTTGTGTGTTAGAAATCTAATATCCAAAATACTGTCTCATTGCTTGTGCCATTCACACACTATACCACTCAAACACAGTTAACCTAGTGTGCTTATTATGAAAAGAAAAACATTAGGCCTGCATTTTGTTTGTGCTTTTCAGATTCAGTTTTAAGTAATAGTCACATGACATAACTCTTGCAAAATCAGGACATGGGTGAGTCTCATGAATATTACGAGTTACAATTATGATGGTGGAGAGAACCTGGCAAACTAACTGTCTTTGCGCCCAGGGCCTTTTTTAAACAAAGATTTCAAATATTCTGATGTAAATACTAAATACTAAATTAGGCGTGGTAGATACTGATAAATTATGCAACATGTAACTTCCATTTTCTTTGTTACTATATTAAAACCATTATCTACTATTGACCTTTAGTTCATTTACAGCTCTTCTGATATGTTACTATGTTGTAAAAATTCTATCTTATCTTATGATAGAGGTTTTCTTGCTTGTGTTTTTAGTGTGCGCAAGTGGGAGATTGGCAAACAGCCAAGTCTATCTATGAGTTTTCTGCTACAGATATAGATGGTAATGAAGTCTCACTGGAAAAATACAGGTAAAGTAGTTGTAATATTTCAAGTTTACAGACAAGTATTTGTATCTTAATTGATATGTTTTTGTATTTTAGAGGATTTGTTTGTATAATCACAAATGTGGCCTCTAAATGAGGAAAGACCAGGGTAAACTACACTCAGCTAGCGGGAATGCACGCCTCCTATGCTGACAAAGGTTTACGCATCCTGGCTTTTCCATGCAACCAGTTTGGAGGACAGGTATGTACTGATGTAACCTGTGGTGGTTGCATCATTTTTGTTCATTTTTTGCCTTTTGATTTGTATGATGCAGGAACCAGGAACAGAGGCTGAGATAAAGGAGTTTGCCAAAGGCTACAATGCTGAATTTGATATGTTTAGTAAGATTGAAGTCAATGGAGACAATGCCCACCCTCTCTGGAAGTGGATGAAGGCTCAGCCAAAAGGCAAAGGAACCCTCGGGAAGTAGGTTTCAAGCCCAACTCTTGTTTCTACAATTCAACCAGCCCAGTAGCCCAGTTATAGTAATTAATCATGAACCATCCACCAGGTCTTTTTTGTTTTATTGATAGACTTGTATTATCAGTTGTTGAATATTTTTGTGTTTCCACAGTAACATCAAATGGAACTTCACAAAGGTAATTTCAAGAAATACTGTGCTTATTTAGCCATTTGGTAAGAGTAAATAAATGTGTGTTGTGTATTATTGCAGTTTCTCATAAACCGAGATGGGCAAGTGGTGAAGAGATATGGCCCCACAGATGATCCAAGTGTAAGCCGTTTAAACATGCGTTTGTAACTTATTTTACCTATTTAAAAGTAATCTCATGTCTCTTCTGTTGTAGGTGGTGGAAAAGGATCTGCCCTCATACCTGTAAACATGTTTTAAGTGTTGGCCTTTCATATGAACTTTAAGGTGCAGCAGTGTGTGTGTCTGACCTATGACGGCTTGTCTGTAAACCCTACTATGGGGAAGACTAGCCTGATTTTAAGCGTGCAACTGAAACAGAGCTCACCTGCATCCACCACCTTCCCTGTTCATGAGTGAGGCCACAAGTTCTACTTTGATTACATTTAAAGTAAAGGCATTCCTTCACCCAGAGTAAATATACTTGTCACAACTCTTTGAATTAAGCCATGTTTTTTGTCTTCAGAAACATTAAAATTAAATGACACATTTGCACTTTTATGCACTGCATTTAATAGATGTGCGATTCTGTTGCTTGAAGAGTTAAAGGTGGCATTGATTTTGTATGAATTACAAAGTGATAACCTGTTAACTAATAAACACTGAAAATGAGCAATGTGAGATATTGTCTTGAACCACAACAATAGCTCTTACTGTTGCATATGGATTGAATTAAGTCTCAAATCTATTAATTCACAAAACTGCCAGTAGACTATTTGAGTTAAAAGTGCACAGTGTAAGTTTTCTTGTGGAGAGTCAACCATCTGCTTGTCTTCATCAAGATGCTCTACAGTATGGCATTAACTTAAGCATCTCCATGAAGACGAATATATGACACCATCAGGCCAAGTTACAGGTCAGATCTGTAGACAGGGAACCTGTACAAATACATGCTTTTTAAGTGAGCATTAAAACACTAATAACTGATTCATTCAAGCTATAACATCCCCATGAGACAAATAAGTGGCGGACCCTCCAGAAAAGTTACACATTGCACCTTTATGGTTGAATGGTTATAAATGACAGCATCTCGACATTCTTGGTTTTGGTCGCTTTTCTTTAGTAATATTTTTTTCTGTGGGCTTTACCATATGACGCGTTTGAGCTACGAGCTCTTGCGCCCCTGCGCACGACGTCAACGCACAGCAGCGGCAGCGGCGGCGCAGGAGAGATGAGCAGCTGCACCACTGGACTGTCGCGGCGTTTGCCAAGCTGAACACGCAAAGATGCTGCCATGTACGTTTTTTGCAAACCTGCCTGTTATACTGAGGCTAGAATCAGGTTTAACAAATAGTTGCACGCTCGTTCCCTCCTCGTGAGTGGCTTTGGTGAGAGAAGCAGGCTGTACATCTTCGCTTCCAGAAATGGACGGAAGGACTGCGGAACCCGGGGATGACGGGAGCCGAAGCGAGGCGTCCGGCTCCTGCTTGCAGCTTGACCTGGGGGACACCGGTCTGTATGCTATTTGAGTTTATTTCAATACAGTGCATTCTATTGTATTCTATTGTATTGCACATTATAAGCAACATTCATGGGGTACACCAGGCCTGCCCAAACCCCAACTTGGCCTCTGCCAATATACAATAAAATTATTACGTTTTAGGGCTGGGTGACTAAAATGAATTGAAGAATTCAAGCTTCCAGACTGAAACCTAAGACGTGGGATTTGATAATACATTAAAGGTTAATAATAAGTCCCATGATGTAAAATCAATGGACCGCTATTTAAAGTGACTTAAGTTCACTGTAGTTCGTTAGACAAGTAAAGTTTTACAATATGCTGTTTTTGATGGTCTGATTCAAATCTTCATAACACACTCTATGTCTGGCTATATTTGAAGAACGCTTTACATAATCCGCTATGGAATTATAACATAAACTCCTCTAATCCTTTCTGGGTATCAATTACTACCATTACTGTGGACGACCCAACAATGCATTCAAACAGTGGCATGTCAAGTTCGCTCTAACTACTACTTTTAGTACTAATACACATTACATCCAAATGACAAAGTCTTATAGTACCAACAAGTGTGTATGTTTTGTGCTGCAGGACTGTGGAGATTATTATTAATACCAAATCCAAACAGATTATAGTTGTGCACAGGGAGGGAGTGAGATGTTCCAAGCCTGTAGTGGGCTTGAAATCCATTTGTGTTTTTATGACTGTCAAAACAACAGACTGCATGCACTCGCACTTATATTGACAAGTTCTAATCCTCTTTACTCAAACTTAAAGGCCTGTCATTGGTTCATTTGGCACAATGTATCTATGCCATCAGTAATGCATCAAATTATATATTTATGTGAACTGAACGTGTATTTTGATGATAAAAACAAAACAAAATGCTGGCCCGTAGTCACAATAGTGCTCTGACCTTAATCCTCACAGATTCATTGTGTATGCCCTGTCATTGTCTCTATTGTTCTAACTATCTGACCTGTAACAGGTGTTCTCAACCTTATTTGTAACAAAGGAGTCATGAAAACAAAATATTGCATAGGCTATTGTTGTAGAAATAATTCAAATAGCCCAAATGTGGCAGGAGTCTATGGATGTCTAATGCAGTGGAGGGTGGTTTACATTACATAAGTATGTAGTTTTTATGCATTATTGATGGCATGAACCTTAGTCGTAGTAGTAGTTGTAACTATTACTACTATTACTTTTCTTTCTGCTCCTTTTCATTTATTTCTTATATGTTTAATTTTATACCACATTGATGTCTTTCTATATTTTATGAAATAAAGAAATCAATAAATCCATACAGTACATAAATAAATTAATAGGATGTATGATGACATAGGTCAGCTATTGGCAAAGAAATGTCAATAAAAGCTGGCGGTGTCCTTGGTACAGCAGAGCAATACCTTTCATGTATCAGTTAAATTGTCACTACACAGTACTGTCCAAGTATGTTGCACTGGCAATTTGCATTGCTGTGTGGCTCAGTGGAAAAGTCACAGTGCATATGCAGGTGAACCTGTCTGCTATATGCTATAGCCTCATAGGGTTGAAATTAAAATATTCAATAAATCATAAGTTTTCCTGAATAGATTTAGTATATGGTCTTGATCTTTGTCAGAACTGGCACAACCCATTAATGAAATAAGTTTAATTAATTAAATAGTGTTGAAAAATTGTCTCTTGTTATAGTCTCATATACTGCATGACATTACTAGCATTTTCACACATCACTAAAACCATTTCACTTTATTGATATTATATGAGTTCATCTCTTTTACTTCCAAGTATTGTGTAGTAGTGCACAATGCTGAAACATCTGCTACAGTGTCCTCATCTTTAACATGGCTTAAAGGGTATTTATCTCCGCCCTGTCCACAGTGCATCCTTAATCTCACACGACCGGAAACTCTACATGATTATTAAAAAACACTCACTACACTTCCATAGCCACCACTGATAACATCCATACACTCTATTTTTATCCTGATGCCCCATCAGTGTCTTTTGATTTGAACAGATTCTGGTCAGTTTTATGCACTGTCTTCTTCTAATCCCTGTTTCTGATTGGTTTGCCCCTTGATCTGGAGGAAGCAGCCAATCGTAACGCTCAGATTAAAAGTCAATCCAATAGACTTTTTGCCTGACAAATCTCGGTGGTGCAAGAATAGTAGAAGCACAGTGCACGTTGCAGTTTAGATTTTTTTGTTTTGGTTAAATTTGAAAACTATAAACTATGTACTGAAGCCCCCTGCTGGTGAGTGTCAAACTGAATTTGTAGTAATTAAGTCTATATAATTATTTTGTGCCAGCGTTTGTTAATTGTCACAACACATTAAATAATGCATTGTAGTGGGAGCTTTGTAACCTCTTTTCTCATTCTCTATCCACAGATCCAGCCAGAAAAGCTCAGATAACAGAGGTGAGAACTGAGAACACAGGCCTAGCATTTGTGTGAGCTAATTCCTTCTTAGTGCTCTTATTTAATAGCCTGTATTCAAAGCCTATTGTTTTACATTAGTATAAAACAAGCTATAGTTTTTTTAGACATTTAGTCAAGACAATGAGGATGACTTGTAGGTTTGTAGATGACTAATTATTTTATGTAGATTATTATTAGGATTTATATGGGTCAACAGCAGAAGTGAGTGACTGAGTGAGTAAGCTGAAGATTTGTTATTTTTTGTATTAGTATGTAAAAAGACAGATTAAACTCATGATTTACTAATTTAATCTGTCTTTACATAAATACATTCTTTCCTAGTACCTTTCTGCATAAATAGTTGTTTTGCATGATTTCCTGTACAGTTGTAGTCTTGTGGGTACTGTATAGGTCTGATACATAGTGACTTACGTAATCGTTTCCAGTCGACTAATCGATTGACAGGAATTTCAGCGTATGTTTTCTAGTATAAAACATATGCTGAAATGTAAATACATTGCTAAAGAGTTTAGTCATTACATTTACAATATTATATCACTACAAACTGTGACTAACAGTTCTTTTAGTAGTCAACAGGTCTGCGATTATTTTTGGATTACTTGATTAAGTCAAGCCTTGGAGATTTTTTTGGTAAAAGTGAACCAGTTAAAAGTAAAGTTTAATTAAAATCAGTAAATATATAGATTTTGTCTCTTCCCTGTTTGATTTAATAACAGTGCTGTTTTTGCAGCAAATGGTATGAGTTATATTTATCTGTTTGTAGTCCAGATAGCGATTAACGATAATAAAACTAGTCAATAATTATTCCATCAGATGATCAATCACCTTTTTTTCAGTTTAGTTGTTGCAGTCCTGATTAAATTAACACACAAACAAATCTATGCTTGTTGATTTTACCCAATTGGAAAACTTTTTTTTTTTAGTTTCTGGATTGTCTCCTGAATTGAACTGCATTTTGTGTGTTTTTTTATAGATGCCATCGCCATTTGGAGCAGGTCCAACCCACGAGAAGAAGATTGGCCACAGGAGAGTTGATGCCTCGGGGGAGACAACATACAAAAAGGCACTGACACTTTACCAGTTATTTACATTTCACTAACATACTGCTTTAGACCTTTTTAGCTACATAATATTATATAATAGTCCTCAAAGCATTGTCTCTACCTACAGCTCACTTTGTTATTCTTGTCTGCCTCCTACAGACCACCTCTTCAGCGCTCAAAGGGGCCATCCAGCTGGGCATCGGTTACACAGTCGGTAACCTCAGCTCCAAACCAGAGCGAGATGTGCTGATGCAAGATTTCTATGTGGTGGAAAGCATCTTCTTTCCAAGGTACTATCAGGGTTAACTCAAGTATGTATAACCCTAACTCTAACCCTAACCTTAACACGTACCCGTGATAGAGATATTTTAGTAAATTGTTGTGCAATTGTTTTCTTTTGACAGTGAAGGCAGTAATCTCACTCCAGCGCATCACTTCCCAGACTTCCGTTTTAAAACGTATGCTCCTGTGGCCTTCCGCTACTTCAGAGAGCTGTTTGGGATCCGGCCTGATGACTATCTGGTATGTGCTGCTTCATCAATTTTGTTCAGATGATGAACAGTGCAAATGGCCAATTATGGTGACAACATGCAGGTTTTAGTAGGCTTAGTTGGCCTAGTAGGGCCACCTTCTGCTTGTCCCCATGGAAATCTTTCCTATAATATTCCACAGTATGGCATATCTACTCTTCTATTTCCATGGTATCATGCATTTAATCTACCACCTTCAGAAAGTTATGCGTGTCACTTTAATACACTAAACCATCAAAAATATAAGCTTCCTTTAATATGTGTGCATTTGGCATGCTGTTTTATTTATTGGCACTTTGATGATTTTTTGTTGTGTTTTCATAATCACAATCAATCACACATTATCTTGCATTTACTGTGTACACCAACTCAGGGAACAAAGACTTTGTTTGTAGAACCACTGTTTGACACTGAACCTTCACCTGTGCAAAGAGATTAATCACTTCCTATTTAAATCCATTAAGTATTATTGTTACATGTATACTGTATACAGGTGGCTTTCTTTTCACATTTTCCCACAGAAGGCAGTGGGTGAAGTCTAGTTTGGTGATGGTACGTGGTGTAAACACACTTTTCTAAGTCTAAATGTGCAAGTTTCACACGAACACCCACAAAGCCTTTTGATAAACACTAGTGGGAAAAAGCAATGTCGAAACAATGTCTTATTAATGCAGCAAGGGAAACACAATGACAAGTGTGTCTCTAACTCTGTAATCTTTGAAGTAGTTAAAAATGTCTATATTTTTATTCATCTTTTTTGCAGTATTCACTTTGCAATGAACCTTTGATTGAGCTGTCAAATCCTGGAGCCAGTGGATCGATATTCTATGTCACCAGTGATGATGAGTTTATCATTAAAACTGTACTACACAAGGAGGCAGAATTTCTACAAAAGCTACTACCTGGATACTACATGGTAAATCTTTCTTATACCTATATATATATATATATATATATATATATATATATATATATATATATATATATATATATCCAAAACTAAACAGTCATCTCAGGAAAGAAGTGCAATGAAATTGGAAGAAACAAGTATTGTTTCAGGACAAATGATTTGCTCAATACATAAGGAAATCTTAGAGTTTTAGACCAAACTGTGCATGACTGTTTGTGTTCAGTGTTGGAGTGTTTAAGAATAAATCTGCCGGTGAAACTTCTAGGCACCGTTATCCTCTTTATCCTATCAGTGTTTTGACCCTGGTCAGTTGTGACGCCACCCACTGGCTGTTTTAAGCATAATAGTGGTTTGCCTGGGCTATGTGAGCCAAGTACTACTTAACCGCACAGTGTGGTCACGCTGTGAGAGCAGGTGTACTGTACCATCATCACTGTACTAACTTGTAACTGCATGTGTTCTTCACAGAACCTGAACCAGAACCCAAGGACCTTGTTACCAAAGTTTTTTGGACTGTATTGTGTTCAGTGTGGAGGCAGAAATATCAGAATTATTGTAATGAACAATATTTTACCACGCTCAATACGAATGCATCTTAAATTTGACCTAAAAGGATCAACATATAAAAGACGTGCATCAAAAAAAGAAAGAGAGAAGTCCAAACCCACTTTCAAAGACCTGGACTTTCTCAGCGATGTCCCTGAAGGCCTCTCACTAGACCAGGACACCTATAGTGCACTAGTGCGGACTCTGCAGAGAGACTGTTTGGTAAGCCAATCTACTATTTATATTTTGCCATGACTTTTCAAGTGTACACATCTTTCATAAATACAGTTTTACTCTCAGGTTCTTGAAAGTTTTAAGATCATGGATTACAGCTTGCTACTTGGCATCCACAACAAAACTCTTGCAGAAAAAGAGATTCAGTGCCAGGCATCACCAGCAGGGGGCACTGATTCCAAGAGGCCTGTACTTCAGAGAGCCTTGTATTCCACTGCCATGGAGTCTATACAGGGAGACTCGATGTGCAGAGACACACTGGACCATGATGTCACGTAGGGCACTAAAATAATCTTAATATCTCCTCAGAAGCTCAATAGACCAATGTACCAATATGCTATGTCTTTTTGCAGAATGGGAGGTATTCCAGCTGTGGGACCAAAAGGAGAAAATCTACTGCTTTTTGTTGGAATCATTGATATCCTGCAGTCCTACAGGTGTGTAATAATGAGTACTGGCATTTCCCATGTCTTTTGAATAGCACTGTATGAAAACTGACACTCCACGCTGCATAAATAAGGCTCTGATTGACCCTTGTGTTGCCAGGTAACAGGAATAAATGACTGTTGAGAGCAGCTAAATGATTTAATTCTCTTCTCTGACAGGCTGATTAAGAAGCTGGAGCACTCTTGGAAGTCACTTATCCATGACGGGGTAAGTCATTCTCACACATCTGTTACATAACCAACCAAAACATCACATCTTATAATGTCAATAAGCACAAGCGAGTTTCCTCTCATTACACAAGTAGAGTAGTTGTGATGAATTAAAATGTGCACATTGAATTATAATGCATTGTCTAAAATGGCTCATATCTTTCTCTCTCTCAGGACACTGTGTCAGTTCACAGGCCTGGCTTCTATGCTGAGCGATTCTTCAAATTCTGTACTACCACTGTCTTCAGGAAAAGCTGCTGTAGGTTCACACATTTATGAACTGCTAGTTTTTATTAGTTAGTTTGAAAACTCAAAAATCTTTATTATTCGTTCAGCTCTTCGTCCATCTCCTTCAAAGAGAGGACGAGGAACCCTATCTGCATCCAGGTCTAATGCTGGGTCCACATCACAGCGTCCCTCACTGACTGAAGACCGCCGGGAAAACCTGGACAATCTGGAAAACCTCAGAGGGGCACGGAGTTTCGCAATGCTCGAGGACAGTGGTGAGTGTCAGCGCAACAAAAATATACCTGAAGCTTCACTATCTGATCATTTTGTTTCAGTGTTCTTGGTTTGGGTACTACAGTTTCGACACACTATTTGAATATGTTGTATTTAGTGGTCTTTTTTTTTTCTACCCTCAAATTGTTGTCTTACACTCTTGTGTACCCCCTATATGGTGTAATTGTGTTTTTTTCTATTATAGCGAATAACCAATATAATTTTTTCTTGTTTTAATATTTATGTCAAACTAATCCATCTTTCATTTAAATCTGAAATCATTCTGAGTTGCCTCAGGGGCCCCCTTACACCAGGTTGGGGAACACTGGGTGTAGTCCCATATTTGCTGGGATAGACTTTAGTCTCCTGCAACTCACCGTTTTGAAAAGTGGATGCTTTTCATTTGCCTAACATTAAATTTAGAATCTTAACAAAGAGGAAAAACATGTTTTGTATGTGTGTGTTTTTTTTTTTTTTATTGTTGTTGTTTATTTTTTTTTGTGTGTCAACTCATTTGGTCTGTTTAATTGTAAACTGGCAGCAGTTATCAACTAGTGTTTATTTCTTAGTAAAGTAAAGCACATAAACAGACAAATGAATCACCAATATATGTTTGTTTGTTTTTGTAGTAAAATTATTTTCTTCTTTCTTTCCCATATCTATCTATTGTTTGTATAATTACTCCATTAGGCCGAGAACCACCTTGCACTCCTCCTTCATTTGAAGATGCCACCACTGCATCGATCGCCACAACCCTGTCGTCTAACAACTCATTACCCACAACCCCTTTCGACACGCCTGAGCACCCACGCTACCGGAGACAGATGCTCTCTCCCAGCATGGCCAGGTGTGTGAGCAGACCAGTAGTCTGTCACCTCACTCTTTATTGTAGCTCTTGTTACATGGAATGGTTTCCTGTTGTGCACCCAGATCGCAGAAGGAGATTGTGGAGGTCCATGAGGAAAAGCAGGACACTATAACAGTAGAAGTTGAGCTCAGGTAAATAAATTGCACAAAACTGTACATAGGGACATAACACATATTTTCATAAAATTGCTCATTTCTCTGAGCAAAAATGTCTTCTGTAACCCATGATTATAACTAAGACCTTGTGCTAACTAGCAGTCATAAAGGATGATCTACACTAAACTATACCAAGTCTCCACTGCCCAAATTTCAGGATTTTTTCTTATTGTGCTATTGCCTATTCTATGTTATAATGTTTCCTCATCAAAAACATACCTTGAGTTGTGTCTTGTTTCATTCACACACAAATACTGTGTATTTAGGCTGTGTTCTTGCGTCATGGGGTTATACAGAGTATAGTGCTTCATTGTATTTTTAAACTCCATACACCTTCACAAGAATCAACATGACTTAAAGCTCATTACAGTCAAATGTTCTTGCTCTTGTGAAACCTTTAATCAAGCAAGTTTCACCAGCATACTAGATAAGACAAAAGATGGATCCAATATGGCTAATTTAACATTTTATTCAATTGTATTTCAGTAAAATTCCCAACAGCACCGAGCTTACCAAAGCAATAGAGAAGATCTCACCGGACCATCCTGAGCATCCTGTTGAGACCCCACCGTCATCCAGCACTCCAGCTCCAGCGCCTTGTTCATCTTCCACACTGCCCCCCTCCTTCACATCCTCCTCGGCCCCTCCTCTTTCCACCCAGTCCTCTGCCACACTTCCCCCCATCACCATACAGCCCTCATCAAAGCCCCTTCATTCCCCCACCAATTTAGAAGTTCCTGTTTCAACACCAGTGTTAACTCCCACAACCTCAGCACCAGCACCTGCATCAGCCTTCACTCCCATTCACCCAGCATCTTGTCAAAGCTCCACTGAAAGCTCCACCCACCAGCTGACCGCGACCCCGCCTACCTCCCTTCCCTCCAGCCCACAGCCACCCCCACGCCGCCCTCCGCTGACGTCCAGCAATCATCTGTCAGTTTCCAGTAGCAACAATTCCCTGGATGGAGAGGTGCAGGTTTCTGACATCTACTTTGTGAGTATTTACTGAGTTTACTCAGTTCTTGAATCCATGTAATTGATTCAGAGTGAAATCCCATTATGAAGGCCTTACTGTCTGTTTGTCCCTGGTGTACTGGGAGTTTCACAGTGGCCCAGTCAGGACAGCGTGGTAGAGTTGTGATAGTGAGAGCAAAACAAGTGTGCGTATACAGGGGTAGATTTAAATGTCTAAAAAGACAGACATTTTTTAGCTATTATTTTATCTAGCCAACAAAATAACAAACCAGCAAATAAACCAAAACTGATTCAAGACATACTATGTAACGTTTCTAGTGGCAAGTTTTCCATGTGCTTGTCTGAGGTCATTGCTTTGCTAACAATGTTCAGCTACAGTATATGGCATTAAACATATTTATCTACATGGAGATAAAAAGCTCAGGTCATTGTAGAGAAGTAAATACCTTTAATAAATTATGTCATACTGTGGAACATTCCATGCACAGCAATAATATTTCCATAAAGACAAGCAGGTGGTGGACCCTTTGCTAGAAAAGTTGCATGGTGTACCTTTAAAAAAAACAACTACTAATTTTTTTCCCTCTTATGTAAGTCACATAACATCCATCATGTAGGAATGGATTATCCAGTATCTTTTGTCCTTGTTTTAACCCACTGAAATCGCCTATAGAAAAAATAATGAATAAAACTATAAAATAATAATCCATGCAGGGACTTAAAACTAAGGAGCCTGTAGCCTCTCCATGAACCTTTCAGCCTACCCCAGAGCACACTGGAGCTGCTTTGAATGCACAATGCTCCTCTCTTCCGCACGAAGAGGGCACTGTCATGGCAATTAGGTTGAATCTTGCATGTTTTTTGCCATGCATCTAGAGTATATTCTTTATGTAAGGAGACCCCAACATGAATCCATCTGTCCATATACTATTAATACATTCAAATTCATTGTTCATTTTGTGGCTTTCTTTTGGTCCATCAGTATGCAGACGGCAGATACTGGGTCTACTCCCCAGTTCTTGGCCGTCGTAAACTCAATTCTAGTTCAAGTTACAGTGTAAGTCATGAGTTAAGGCATTTTGTGTTGACTCTAGCTTGTAGAGTAGTGTGGCCTGAACTGGAAAGTAGCTAATTTAATACTGCCACATAAAGTCGCAATGTTGTGATATAAGTAGTTCAAGTAGTATTAGTTGTATTGCAAGTAGAATTAAGTACAGTACCTTACCTTGGTTTGTAAAAGTTGAAATTGGCTAAATTTATATAATAACAATCTTCATGTGCTTCCTAAACCATATAACCACTTTTCCACTTACTTCCCTCATAGGTTTTTTTTTTTTTTTAATGTCAAAATTGCTCTCATAGTTGCACTTTAGAATCTACACTAGTTTTGGGACCTATACTAATTTAACTTTTTGCTTTCCTCGTGCTGCCCTCTGCTGGCCGGACGGTGACACTGCAGACTCAGGACGACCAGAGCTGGGTGTACTCTCCTCTACATCCCAGCTCAGACTCCAGAAGAGGATCTGACGGGGAAAGCGAAACTGTAAGACCTTTTCACCACTTTTGTTTTCTTTTTCACATAAATGCTAACGTGTTAATCCTGCCTGTTTCCACTTCCTTAGTAACCCACTGTGAAGAGAGCAGTGATGACTGAGCGAGACCTTGTGAGGCGATATGAGGCTGCTAAAGTTCTAAGGATTTACTGTGATAGACGGTAATACTCAGGCTGTGAGCAAAAGCTACACACGTCAATTAGGGCATAGTGAACGCTAATGCTAAAAACACTATTACCACTGTCTACCTGAAAACTTTGATAATTTACATGCAAAAGGGCAAAAACAGGCACATCTGAGTCACCTTATCAGTTGTATTTTTATGGAAAAAATATTAAAATATAAAATTGTGCTTGCCTATGCAATACAGAGTCAAATTTTACTCACTTTTATTGATTATTTATTTACAGTTTGTGGCACTTTATTAAGTATGTACACACATTTGTTGCAACATCCACAGAGTATTATTTTGTGTTCCCTTTCTGAGTCTTCAATAGATTTCAGATATATTTGGCAGTGAAGGGCTTTGTCCTGTATGCCTTATCAAATTACAAATTATACTGAATAGAGGTGTACATTTAAAACAACTTCCTCTGGAGAAAAGTGTGTTTGGTAAATGTCTGCACAACTGTTCTGCATGGGTCCTCTTCCACTTATTCGTGTGCACATGTTGTTCATGAATTGATGACGTGATAGGGTTTTTAGTAAATATGTAACTTGTTGGCTGTGAAAAGCTTTCTGTCAGAAGTGAACAAAGTACTATATGTTTTTTTCTTTTTTCATACTTGGTGATTTTTTTTTTGCTAATCTCTATGTTGCATTCAAACTGGTGTAAGTTCATGTACATTGTATTTTTTTCAGTCATGTATTCCTGGCCTATTTGTGGGCAACAGTGTTTGTAGCCAATCACTGTGAAAATAAATATTATATTGTATATAAAATGCCATGGTATGTGTTTTTAAGCAAGAAATTAATTCATGTAATTTTGATAGAACCAGGTATATGTATGACGTGTGGCAGGTATGACCTACTAATGCGCCACACATTTTAAATTATAATTTTTATTGTATAGTAAAATTAAATGGTCATAGTAAATGTGGACTTTACATCAAGGAACCTCTCACCCATTCACACACACACAGTCATACACCTGTGTATGCAGACAATGGGAGCAAGAGGGGTTAAATGTCTTGCTCAAGGGCACAACAACAGCATTCATCCACTCAACCAATGATGTTTGTCGAGAACTGGATTAAAACTGCCAACCTTCAGCTCGTAGGACAAACTCTCTGCCAACTTCATGACTGTCACCCACATGAGAGTAATATTACAAGTTTTCAAATGGTACAAACACTAAAAGTAGTGTTAAAACAAATTGTTTTAATGTTTTATGTATGTTTAATTGTTGTCCACTAGATGGCACCAGAGCGTTTAAAACCGCCTCTTTTGGCCACCGATAGTGTGTATTGTGATTCCGTCACTATAAAATATCCACAGTATTTTATCCACAAAACATTCTTAAATATTTGTATCGTTAAGGAATACCAATACTGTATGTCCTTCAATATTAAATAACAAGTATCTGCATAAATCTGCACTAGTGGGAACTTTTTTGTAAACAAGAAATGCGTTACAGCCCAAGTTGCTGATATATAGAGCTTTTCACAGCAACACGGCCGCGGAAGATTGGAAGATTTGAGATATTCAGCAGAAACAAGTGTGTCAGTGGATTGGCTGATGGAGCTTGGGGTCTCTATTTGAGAGGTTTGTGCAGGTTTGTGTGGAGGGATACGCGCGGCAGATGGGAAAGTCACTCAGGGTGACAAGTCAGCCATGTCGCTCTGTGATGGAATGTGTGATGGACAAGGATCAGCAGACACCCACACAATTGTTTCTTCTCACCTTTCTTTTCTCCATCTTCTGCTCCTTCACTGACAGATAGTGTAAAAATACCTCTTCAGTTTCAATGCAGTTTTAAAGATAAAGCAGTCAACTTTTCATGGGCCATAGAGGCACATTTTCAGAACTTCCATGATCTCTTCTAACAAAAATATGACTCAGTTAACGTGATTTGTTTTAACTGACTACAAACGTTTAAAGCTGCAACTTTTCTGGAGGATGGTCCGCAGCCTGCTTGTCCACATGGATATGTTATTGTTCGGAATGTTCCACAGTATGGCATTATTCATCCATGGTGACAAGAAGGTGATGGCACATGGCAAAGTGACAGGTCAGATCTGTGGAGAGGCAGCCCAGCCCACAGTAACCATGTTTTTCTTGGTATTTCTGGCCAATAATAACACTTGTTAATAACACTAGTAATGAAATATATGCCATATTGTGATCGATTTCAGTCAAAGCACAAGCATAAGCAGGTGGCTGACCCTCCACTAGAAAAGTTAGGCAGTGCATCTTTAAGTAAATGTCCCCGAACATTAGTCAAGGCTTGTTTTGTCCTGTGTAAATTCATGAGCGCATATTTATATTACTTCCTTCTTATATGGGACATATATCCGTCAAATATAAATGTCTGTGGGGTTGTCACTTTCTGTAATAATTCTTGCTTACAAAGTGCTGGAGGCAGGAGAGTGAGTTAGTTATGGTTTGGTATGGTGGTATAAATGAATAACTGCAACACTGTAAATGTCACATGTCTCAGATACAAAGACCTGAATGGCAGTATTTTTCTTTTATAAACTGCAGTCTTTCTATTTGTGTACAGTACAGACCACTGTCTGGCTCCAATCTCACATTCTACCTTTTAGAGTGGTAAAAGAGGTATACTCAACTTCTCTAATGTAATTAACTACTCCACAACAACTCCAACCTTATGTGTCCCAGCAGACTTCATAACAGCCCTGTCTGAATAAATATGTATTTTAGTTTATGTCTATGGATTTAGTAATTCACTGGTTGCTTTAGGTCTATTACAGTTCAAAGAGTAACTGACAAAAGTGACAGCTTTTTTCTAGGCACCTAATTAAGTGTTCAAGTTGCTTTGTCATAGTAGTAAACTTTGTCAATGTTTTCATCAAGGGCTGCAAATGAAAACACAGTATAAAAATTATATCATGTAAGTAACACTGTGTGCAGTATAGAGTCAATGTATTGTTTGTCGTTACATACGAAGCTACATTTGATTTAACTATCAAATGTGGGTGTGCGTTTAAATAGAAAGGCAGGAGCAATGGCATGTACCTGGGGTGAAGTGGTCCCTCACAACACTGAGCTTTCATCTGCACCAAACATAAATAAATAGCTTTGTTCTCCATGAAGACAGCAGGCCAAAGCCACGACAACAAGGCCTGTGTGTGCATGTGTGTGTGCGTGTGTGATGGTGAATAAGAGAGAGAGAGAGAGAGAGAGAGAGAGAGAGACGGAGGGACAGATCAAAACAGGAGAGTTTCAGCCTTCGTGTGTGGGACGTGGCACCTCACCTACCCAGAATCCTTTGCCTCTTTCCCTGCAGCCCACTCAGGATTTGAGCATCATCTCAGCATCAAGTATTCTGCTCCTACATCTTCATCAGCCAACTCCTCTCCTCCACAAGCAGCACTGTTGGCTATCCAAGAGATTTCAATTTGTTACATCCAACTTTTACACAGTTCTGGTCAATTTGCTTATGTAAGGACTTCAGAAAGTACTTAATTTCTCTTCGTTATTTATGGATATGACCATTGTAACTAGCATAATAGTCAGATGGTCATAATGTTAAACCATATACAGGGATGTCATGGAAATGGTCTATAGAGTATCCCTCCACTGACAGTGTCTTAAGGCAGTGTTTATCTGTGACAGGCTGAAGAAAACAAAGACATTGATTTCTAATCCTAATCCCCTCTATGGCCTCTCTCCTATTGATCATCTATCCATCCTTAACAGGACGCAGCCACGCTGAAGGACAAAACTTTCTCTG